AGTAATGCCGGCAGCTTGGCTAAAGAGCCTAAAAGTGGAAGTAGGAATCCAGTGTCTTTGGGTCAGATTCCCATGAGTCAGTGTAATGCACGAGGCCTTAGAAGAACGATGTTTTCCAGTATGTTGGTAAGGAGACTTAATGTATTATAAATACTGAAAGCTGTTTCAACCAAAATTTAGTTCTAATCTGAGCTCTGCAATGGCAGACTATGTCAATTTCTATTAATAAAATGCTGTTCAAGATCTACTTCTCTGATTTTTAAGTGGATTTTATTATTTTAATATTACTAACTCAATTATTTGTGACTCATTAAGGTCATCTACAAAGGGAAAAGCAAGAATACCATGACCAGCTGTTACTAGCTGCTAGGAATGATCATGAGACTGAAAGACGCACTATAACCCAGCTGAGATTTGAACTTGATGAACTTAAAAAGACATACGAAGAAACACAAGGGGAAATGATGAGTTTAAATGCCTTATTGCAGTCACAACAGGTTGCTGAATTGAAGACTCAAGAAAATGAAAATAAAATGAAAGAGGAAGCACAAAGACTAAAACAAGAAAATGAAACTATCAAAGAGCAGCTCAGAGAAGAAAAAGAAAAGTCTGAGGAACTTTTATGTCAGGTAAGTGGATGGATTTGGAGGTTTGAGGTCATTAGCAAAGAATCAAGAGAGATAAAAATTCATAGTTAATCAGAATGGACCATGCCTCTCTCTGGTAACTGTTCTTCACATAGATCTAGACTCATGTCCTTCTGGTTAAAACTGAATTGTTTAAACAAGAAACTTCTTTGTTCATTTATTTCCCTGGTCTTAAGAGACACAAAAGAGAAAGAAGAAAATATTGAATTGATTCTGATATAGTTCATCCTTATGAGTAATAGTAAATGAGAACAAGAAAGCTAAAAATTCATTTTATTATGTGCTCCCAACTATGGAATACCAATAATATCTGCTGTCACCTGGAAGCTAAAATACAGCTGATATTTGAAATAAGAGAATAAAATTTACTAGACACCAAAGTATGCCAAAGCCAGAACAACAATTAAGCATGCTAAAGACAGGCTGGTTGTCACTGGTTAATAATGATTAAAAGAAGTTTATTTTATTTTGTTTTATTATTTGTTTTATTATTATTATTTTTTGAAGCTGAACAACAGCATTATCGTCAAAGTTGATACATGCTGAAAGCAGAGGGTATTTTAATGTATGCATTTACTTATTATTATGATATAGCACTTTCTGACGTTTAAACTTGTTCTCTTATATTAAAAAAATTGCATTGTTTGTTTTTATTAACATCATGTCATGTGAGTGCAAACAGGTTTTGTGAGTATATTTTTGTCAGCATCCTGGCAATCACTTAGGAGGCTTCAGTTTTTGTTTTTTTTAACAATAACATCATCCTGCATTCCCCCTTCTCGGTGCATTAATAATTTTTCACTAGGGTTTTTCCTGGGGAAATAGTGATTTGAATTGAGTTTGGCTGTTCTTGCATAAAAGGCATACATTTTCTGTTGGCATTGGAAGGTAAGAGTTTGCTTCCATCCCATTATAAATTAGTTCTTTTTAAGCTTATTAACTATAGTATATGGAAATTGTTTGTTACAAGTGTTAATCTGCCTTGTAGGTGCAACTTCTTCGTAAATCATTGCTCAGACAGGAGGCAGAACACACAAGAATAGCTTTGTTGGAACAACAGGTACAAAATTATGTGCTAAAGTACTGATATTTAATCTGCGTTAGGCACAAAGTCTTTCTAGACTAACTTCACATTTAAGAATGATTAGTATATTAAATAAAGTAATGCTAGGCATGAATATTCAACAGTGCATAATCTCTTGATGCTTTCAAAAATTTTGAAACATCTGTCAGGAGGAAAATCTGTAACCTTCTACTGATAAGAGGGTTATCAGTATGAATAACCTGATGCTGTTTTCTCCACAATCACTGTTCAACATGTAAAGCCTCAGATAAGGCACAGGAAATATTCTAAAACTAATCACGTAATTAAAATTTTGTAATAGATTTTTGATATAGAAATAATTGCATTGCTGTATTTTCTATTCTCTTTATTTGAAATTGAAACACCCACCAAACAAAATAACTTTAAACTGCACCTCTGCTAAGGGAGATTTTTATAATTGGGCATATGTGAATTTCACTGTAATGAAAGCAACAGCAATTTTTAATTTTTCATTTAAATTTTCCTTTTAATCTCATTTTGAGATGTTATTGCAGAGCAAAACTGACTTTAAATATATAAATAGGAAACATTCCTCCCGATTCATACTAACTTTGACTTCAGTTTTTCACTTTGTTGGGCTGCCAGATCCAGATATGCACCACGGACTTAGAGAATGGAAAGCTTGATCGCCAGAACTTGAAGCATGAGTTAAACCATGTTCTCAAGGAGTTGCGCAAGGCCAAGGAGAAAATAACCCGTCTGGAGCCTCT